TAATTTCTCCAGTGGTGTAGGGCATAGACATCCTGTGATAATTTTATTTTGTTTTAAATGGTGCATTTTAATATTTTGATAAATGTTTTTAATGTTTATGTATGTATACAAGAATTTGTGTCCTGGCATTGAATGTTTGCTGTATATATGCTGTGCCCTGAGTCCCCTTCGGGGTAAGAAGGGCAGAATATAAATGTTTTAAATAAATAAACAAACAAACAAATAAATAATGTGGCATGTTACATTAAGAGCCACATCCACTGTTTTATCGTGGTGAGGTGTGTTCCACACTGGGCATGCATACTCAGCAGCAGAGTAGCAAAGCGCAAGGGCAGATGTCTTCACTGTGTCTGGTTGTGATCCTCAGGTTGTGCCGGTCAGCTTTCGTACGATGTTATTTCTAGCACCCACTTTTTGCATGAGAATCAAGCAGTGCTTCTTGAAAGTCAGAGAACAGTCCAGAGTGATTCCCAAGTATTTGGGTGTACTGCAATACTCCAGTGGGATTCCTTCCCAAGTCATCCTCAGAGCTCGAGATGCTTGTCTGTTTTCAAGGTGAAAAGCACACGTCTGCATTTTAGATGGATTGGGAATCAGCTGGTTTTCCCTGCAGCAGGAAGTATGAGCACCTAAAGCTTTGGAGAGCTCAACCATTTCAAAGGGCGGTGATGGCATGATCGTCAGCATAGATGAAACTCTTTGTCCCTTTTGGCAGTGGCTGGTCATTTGTGAAAATTAGGGAATGATAGGAGTTGCAATCCATCTGGAAGTCTATGCCATCCCACCTTGGGACTGATGGATGCCTTGCTTAAGAGGCTGAGGGGGAAAAGGAAAGGGCTTGAGGCTGTTAGGAATTGTGGGAGTTGAAGTCCAAAACACCTGGAGGGCCCAAGTTGGCCCATGCCTGGACTATCGCAATGTGTACATATGACCTTTAGGAGTCAAATCCCTGGCGGATGTCTCTCTATGGATTCCTTGGCTCTGACCATCCCCAGATTTCCCCAAATTGTGTTGGATTTCTTGCAGTTGGATGGGTCCGCACAGCACCCTCCCTGCAGAACAGCTCCCAAACATGACTTCTCCAACCCAAGCCGTCAATGCTTTATTGTTCTGGACGGCATATGCATTATGATCAGGCCAAAACATCCCTGCCAAACAGAGGCCGGCCTTCTTTCCTGCCAGCCACATTCCTTGCTTGCCTCGAAGCAAAGGAACAGAACCAGGTTTTCGGCGCAAATATCTATTGCACGATGTTTTCTTGGCCTTTCCAGAGTTAGAGGCTCATTCGAAGAGGTTGGCTAAGGACACATCCATGCAATGGGTGGTGGGTGTATCTACATCGCAGAATTAATGCAGTTTGACACTGGTTCAATTCTGTGGAACTCTATGGCTGCAGACCTTGGAAAACTGCAACTTCGAGGATCCCATAGCAGTCAGGGTGATGCCAAATTGCATTCATTTGACACCGTAGATGCAGCCTTCTTGGCCGAAAGATCAGAGTTACGCATGATAGTAAACTTATATCCATCAAAGCATCAAAAAAACAAGGATGTCACTCTCGGATTGAGGAGTATATCAGATTTCGGAATTCGGGATAACAGAGGTTCAGGTTTCCTAGCTGTTACAACTAGGGAAGTGGTGTGAAACAGCTGCAAACGTGCAATATAGATCATGGCTTCACATATATTCTGCTCATGCATGGAGCTTTTCATTTTAGGGGAGTGGGGAGAGATTGTTGCATAAATATATAGGGCAAAAGTTGGTGTGCTTTTGCCAATGGAGACGGAGGAATCCAACTCTGGTGGGACGTGTCATGGTGTAATTAAAAGGTGGTGCAGTGGGTTAAACCGCTGATTTGCTGGACTTGTTGGCCAAAAGGTTGCAGATTTGAATCTAGGTGAGCTCCTGCTGTTAGCCCCAGCTTCTGCCAGCCTAGCAGTTTGAAATAGTGAAAGGACCAAGGCAGAGACATCTCCAGCTCATCCCTTGTTTGGGTATCAGCCAGCACGTCAACGACTTAAATCTAGAAATAGTTTTCTAAGATCTACAGAGACACTCGCTGGAACACCTCAGCAAGCGAGAGTCCAAAAGTGGCAGGCTCAAACCCAGAACCTCACCAGAGACTCCCCCCTGGGCACACAGAGGACTGGGCGACTTGGAACGCGCTGAACAGACTGCGCTCTGGCACCACGAGATGCAGAGCCAACCTCAAGAAATGGGGCCATAAAGTGGAATCCTCGACATGCAGGTGCGGAGAGGAGCAAACCACTGACCACCTGCTGCAACGCAACCTGAGCCCTGCCACATGCACAATGGAGGACCTTCTTGCAGCAACACCAGAAGCACTCCAAGTGGCCAGATACTTGTCAAAGGACATTTAATCAACTACCAAACTCACAAATTTTGTATTTTGTCTGTTTGTTTGCTTTGTTCTGTTAGAAATGTAATATAATTGACTGGCTGCCCTGACACGATAAATAAAATAAATAGTTTGAAAACATGCAAATGTGAGTAGTTCAATAGGTACCACTTCTGCAGGAAGGTAAGGGTGCTCCATGCTGTCTTGCCAGCCACATGATCTTGGAGATGTCTATGGCCAATGCCGGCTCTTCGGCTTAGCAATGGAGATGAGCACCAACCCACAGAGTCGGACACGACTGGACTTAATGTCAAGGGGAAACTTTACCCTTTACATGCGGCAACAGAAAACCATCCCTTTTCCAGCAGAAGCTCTCCTCTCTGGTTTAAGAAGTAGACATATACCAATAGTCTTTGTAGTAGAAAAAGGCTTTATACAAAGGAATATTTACAATACAGAAGAATACTGGAACTCTCCTCAAACCTTTTTGCCAGCAACTCCCAAGGAGTTGAAGCCTTCTTGCTTGCAAAAGCTTTCTTCAGGAACTTTACAGCTTTCTCTTAAACACAAGCCTCCAACATAGACTTTCCTGCAACACCAAAACCCCATCACCAGCCTCCAAAACCAACCCTCCACACAGAAGCTTTATCTTCCTTTAGTACTTCTACAACTACTCCACCCTGGCTGCAGATTACATAAGATTAACCAGGTAGAATGATTCCCGCATGCAACCTTTTCCAGCTATGCTTCTAATAAGTAAAGGTAAAGATTTTCCCCTGACATTAAGTCCAGTCATGTCTGACTCTGGGGTGTGGTGCTCATCTCCATTTCTAAGCCAAAGAGCCGGCGTTGTCCATAGACACCTCCAAGGTCATGTGGCCGTTACCTTCCCACCAGAGCGGTACCTATTGATCTACGCACATTTGCATGTTTTCGAACTGCTAGGTTGGCAGAAGCTAGGGTTGACAGCGGAAGCTCATGCCGCTCCCCGGAATCGAACCTGCAACCTTTCAGTCAACAAGTTCAGCAGCTCCGCGCTTTAACTCACTGCGCCACCGGGGGCTCCAATGCATCTAATACACATGGGCAATTCAGTACTTACAAAAGTTGGGGTGCTGTTGTTTTCCTTCTACAGTGTTGCTAAAGTTCTGGTGGTGAAAATTTTGGAAGTCTAACAAAACTTTCAAATTTTCATTATAAATTGACAGTTCCTATCCTAATTGGTTCTGTCATAAAAAATTGCCAATAACAAAATAAGAATGACATTTTGAGAGTTTTGTTAGAGTTCTGAAATTTTCACCACCAGAACTTAAGCAACACTTTAGAAGCAAAGCTCCAGCACACCCTAGTTTTGTAAGTATTTTAGAACCATTTAGAACAGTGTTTCTCAACCTGGGGGTCGGGACCCCTGGGTGGGTCGCGAGGGGTGTCAGAGGGGTCGCCACAGACCACCAGGAAACACAGTATTTTCTGTTGGTCATGGGGGTTATGTGTGGGAAGTTTGGCCCAATCTTATCGTTGGTAGGGTTCAGAATGCTCTTTGATTGTAGGTGAACTATAAATCCCAGCAACTACAACTCCCAAATGTCAAGGTCTATTTCCCCCAAACTCCATGAGAGGGTTCACATTTGGGCATATTGAGGATTCGTGCCAAGTTTGGTCCAGATCCATCATTGTTTGAGTCCACAGTGCTCTCTGGAGGGAGGTGAACTACAACTCCAAAATTCAAGGTCAATGCTCACCAAACCCTTCCAGTTATTTTCTGTTGGTCATCAGAGTTCTGTGTGTCAACTTTGGTTCAATTCCATTGTTGGCGGAGTTCAGAATGCTCTTTGATTGTAGGTGAACTATAAATCCCAGCAATTGCAACTCCCAAATGACAATATCGATCTCCCCCCAGTATTCAAATGAGCGTTTCGGGTGTTTGTGCCAAATTTGGTTAAATGAATGAAAATAGACCTTGCATATCAGATATTTACATGACGATTCATAACAGGAGCAAGATTACAGTTGTGAAGTAACAACAAAAATGTGATGGTTGGGGGTCACCACAAGATAAGGAACTGTATTAAGGGATCGCGGCATTAGGAAGGTTGAGAAACACTGATTTAGAACCATGGACTGCCCATGCCTAGTAATAGTAGTAGTAGTTTTAGTAGTAATTATTATTATTATAACAACAATAATAAGTTTGGCATGCATGGCAGGAGGGGTGGATTGAATGACCCATGCCATTTCTTCCAACTCTGTTATCTTAATAGTAGTAGTAGTAGTAATTGTTATTACTAGTAGTAGTAGTGCTAGCAGTAGTAGCTACTACTAGTAGTGCTACTATTACTACTACTACTACTACTACTAAGTTTGTCCCAGTGGTGAGCGGCACACTGGGTGCAGTGCCTAATGACCTTGGCCTGCACTTAAACACAATCGGCGCTGACAAGATTACCATCTGCCAGCTGCAGAAGGCCACCTTACTGGGATCTGCATGCATTATTCGCCGATACATCACACAGTCCTAGGCACTTAGGAAGTGTCCGATGTGTGATCCAGCAGGGTATCTGGTGTGGACTCATCTTGTTGTGTTTCTAATAATAATAATAATAATAATAATAATAATAATAATAATACCTGTTGTTTTCAGTCTCCTGCAGGGATCGTCCAGGGTGCCCTGGAGGAGGCAGTGAAGCATGGATTCCGTCACATCGATTGCGCCTATTTCTATGGCAACGAAGAGGCGGTCGGAGAGGGCCTCCACAATGTGCTGAAGAAAGGCCTGGCCAAGAGAGAGGACCTTTTCATCGTCAGCAAGGTCAGGCGCATGTCGGGAAGCGTGGGTTCTCCAGACAGAGAGGCCATTGGGTGGTACCATCTTGACTTGAGCCTCATGAGCCATCAGATCTAATGTGCACCTTGGTTTTCAAAACCCTGAAACCAAACAAAGTATTTGCTGCGAAATGTCATGTGCAGTGGCAAAAAGTACACTATTTTGGGGTGCATCTCTGCTGCAGAATGAATCCATTTTAATGGCATTGGTTCAATGCTACGGCATCATAGGGGATGTAACTTCACAAGGGCTTGAGCCTTCTCTGCCAAACGAGGCTGGTGCCTCACCAAACTACAAATCCCAGAGTTGCATAGCATTGAGTCACTGCAATTAAATGAGAGATGACATCCCTCAAAGCGGAGCAACCCCTGAGGTAGCTGCCCCTTTCTGTTTTGACTAAGCACTAAGATGCTTGTACAACGCAACTCTAATGCGCAGCCTCATTTTGGTCTGCAGAAGGGCGCTTGTACAGAGATGTAGATTTAAACCAATAAGTGTAAGATAAGAACCCAAGTTTGCTATCTCGGTCAAAGGATGTTGAACTAGAATTTCTGTGATTCCATTGCATTGAGCCATGGAAGCAGTGGTTTCAAACTGCATTGTAGGTGCACCCTTTGTCAAACTACAACTCCTAGTTTCCCATAACATTGAATCATGGCAGTTAAAGGTGTACCAAACAGTATGGATGATAGTGGATGATGATGATTTTTTTTTTCATGTCAGGAGTGACTTGAGAAACTGCCAGTCACTTCTGGTGTGAGAGAATTGGCCGTCTGCAAGGACGTTGCTCAGGGGATGCCCGGATGTTTTGATCCTTGTGGGAGGCTTCTCTCATGTTCCAGCATGAAGAGCTGGAGCTGACAGAGGGAGCTCATCGGTGCTCTCCCTGGATTCGAACCTCCAACCTATTGGTCTTCAGTCCTGCCGGCACAAGGGTTTAACCCATTGCACCGCCGGGGTCTCCGATGATGATGATAATGGTGATGATCAATTAGTAAATAACATTTATCACCCAGGAACAAAAATTGTTTAACCTAGTATTATCATGATGATTTTTTTTTGTCGTGTCAGGAGCGACTTGAGAAACTGCAAGTTGCTTCTGGTGTGAGAGAATTGGCTGTCTGCGAGGACGTTGCCCAGGGGATGCCCGGATGTTTTGATGTTTTATCATCCTTGTGGGAGGCTTCTATCATGTCCCCGCATGAGGAGCTGGAGCTGATAGAGGGAACTCATCCACGCTCTCCCCAGATTTGAACCTGTGACCTGTCGGTCTTCAGTCCTGCCAGCACAGGGGTTTAACCCACTGCGCCACCGAGGGCTCCATATCGTGATGATGATGATGGTGGCGATGATAACACTATGTAAAACAATGTTTGTTCCTGGGTGATAAATGTTATTTCCTAATTGGTTCTATCATTAAAATATGGGGAAAGTGTATTAAACTGCCAAAACTTTGTTTCTTCAGGAGGGACATCATGCTCCAGCACATTTTGCTCTAGTTTTCAATGACTATGTCATCGAGTCACAACCGATTAAACGTATTTTATGACACAAAAATGAAGTTTCTGGACTATAACAACTCCTTTCAAAGTAAGAACTGCACAATGAAACAGGAAATAACACTTTCAAACCAGGAACAGAGCATGTTTCAGGTTTTGTTACATAGTGTTCCATCTGAACATTAGGAAGAACTTCCTGACTGTGAGAGCTGTTCAGCAGTGGAACTCACTGCCCCAGAGTGTGGTGGAGGCTCCTTCTTTGGAGTCTTTTCAACAGAGGCTGGATGGCCATCTGTCAGGGGTGCTTTGAATGCAATTTTCCTGCTTCTTGGCAGGGGGTTGGACTGGATGGCCCATGAGGTCTCTTCCAACTCTATGATTCTATGATTCTATGCACCCATAACCAATTTTGTCTCCTTTCCCCCTCTTCTCTGCAGCTGTGGAATAGTTTCCACGACCCAAAGGATGTGAAACCTGCTTTGATGGAGACCTTGAAGCTCCTGCAGCAGGACTATTTGGACCTGTACCTGATGCACTCTCCGATGGGCATCAAGGTAAAAGGGGGTCAGATGAGGTCAGGGGGGGGATCCATGCCACTGGCCACGTCCCATCGCCCACTGCACCTCTTTGTCTGTCTCTCTCTTTTCCCTGCAGAACGTCAAAGGGGACCTCCTCCCGCAAAAGGATGGGCAGGTGATCTTTAGCGATGTGGATTATGTGGACACTTGGAAGGTGAGCCGGGACCTGAGTCCGAGATTCTGAGGGAAAGGAAGTTATATCGTTTGAGGATTCCATATTGAAATGCATGGAACCAGAAGCATTTTGGATTTGCTCCTCTGGGTTTTGGAATATCTGTACAAGCAGAGCATCCCTTATTCCAAATGGAACTATAGGTGTTTGGGATTTAGGGTAACCCTCTGCATTTGAATCCACTCAGAGACACACATACATATTCGGATATGAAATAAGCTGAGTTTTCAGTCCTTTTTTTCAACTGAAAAAGCCTCCACCGGCTTATAATGGGGTTGATGCTCCGAGCCATAGCTTGCAATATATGATATATACTAGCTGTACCTGCCACATGTTGCTGTGGCAAACCTTCCCTCCCTCTGTCTCTTCCTTCTTTCTTTCACTTCTTCCTTCCCTCCCTCTTCCCTTCCTTCCCTTTTTCTCTTTCTCTTCTTCTTTCATCCTTCTCTACCTGTTTCTTTTCTCACTTCCTTTGCTCTTTGGTTCCATCCTTCCTTGTCTCTTTCCCTCCTTCCTTCCTTCCTTCTTTCCCTCCCTCTTTCTCTCTTTCATTCCTTCTCTCCTTTCACTTTCACTTTTTTATTTCCTTCTCTCCTTCCTTCTCTACCTTTCTTCCCTCCTTCCCTCTTTCTCGCCCACCTTCTCTCCTTCCTTCCTTCTCTACCTTTCTTTCTTTCCTTCTTTCTCTCTTCCCTCCTTCTTTCCCTCTTTCTCTCCTCTTCTCTCCTTCCTTCCTTCTCTACCTTTCTTCCTTCTCTCCTTCCCTCCTTCTTCTCCCTTCTTTCCTCTTTCCCTCCTTCCTCTTCTCTTCTTTTTCCTTTCTCTCCTTCCTTCTCCTTCCTTCTCTTCCTTCCCTCTTTCTCCCTCCTCTCTCCTTCCTTCCTTCTCTCTTTCCTTCTTTCTCTTTCTTCCTTCTTCCCTCCTTTCCCTCTTTCTCTCCCTCCTTCTCCTTCTTCTCTACCTTCTTTCTTCCTTCTCTCCTTCCCTCCTTCTTCCCTCTTTCTTCCCTCCTTCCTCCTTCTTTCCTCTCCTTCTTCTTTCCTTCCTTCCTTCCTCTTCCTTCCCTTGGGCAATCTGCTTTCTAGGCTTTGCTGGTGTGGGCCCTACTCCCGGCTCCAAATTGCTTCTTGGGTACCCGAGTAGACCTACCAGCCAAGGCTCTGAAGAATTTCCAGCTGGAGTCCTTAGGATTTTTCCCACGAAAGTTGTAGGTCCGTTTCTCCAACCCCAACAAGGGTTGTGCTGTAAAGCTGTTTCTCTTAAAAGCCTTTCTTTAGAGACTGTTCTTAAAGCTGTGAGGCTGTAAATTCTCCAGCCAGAGCTTTTGGGACTGTTTCCCCCGGACTTTGTAAGAAACGAAGCTTCTCTACAGGTAGAAAACTTTCACGTCCTGTAGCTGAGCTTCCAACTGTAAGACTGAACTAAAATGGTTCCCTTTCTCTCCTGAACCTGGAAAAAAGGGCGGAACTAAAACTTAACAATGATAGACAGGTGGCTAGCCCCATGACTGCAGCCTAGCAGGAACCATCCAACTGCAAAATGCATGGCCAGAACAAGCACATGCAAACGCTCAAAGAACGAAAGGGAGTTGGGAGCTCCTGGTACAGCCGTACCAGCACAGATTCATTGGCCTTTGCAAGCCCTATAGATCACATATATATATAGAGAGAGAGATGTCTAGGTAGATATAAACATAGATATATAGGGCTTGCAAATATTACAAGAGGGAGATGCACATATAGAGACAGGATTTGCAAATGTTTCAGGGGGAAAGGCATATGTGAAATTAGTATATATAATTACAGCTCTATATCTAGCTCTGCATTGTTTATATAGGCATTGAATGTTTGCCTGTTACTATGTTGAAAGCCAGGGGGAGATAGGGCGGGATACAAATGAAGTTCTATTATTATTATTATTATTATTGATGCCATATTGTTTTTGTTGTCCCTACTTTTCCACTTACTGAGCTAGTTTACTATTTTTCTTTGAAATACGGTAAATATTCAAAAACATTTAACCTCCTGATGTCTCAATTAATGTAATTTTATTGGTATCTATTTTATGGGAAATGTACCAGTGCCTGCTGCATTTCCCACCTTTGGCTTATACCTGAGTCAATACATTTTGCCAGATTTTTGTGATAAAATTAGGTGCCTTGGCTTATATTTGGGTCGGCTTATACTTGAGTAAATACGGTACCTCATGTTTGGAAATTTTAATTTAAAAAAAATGAAAAAATTACAGTTGATTGTCAATGTCTACCAGGTTCACCGAAAGCAACACGGCCCTTCAGAGAACCTGAACTGGAGCCGTATAGGTCTTTGCAGGACAAAACCTGGAAACGGGTTGGCAGTCAGTGGAGCCGCTGCAACAGCAGAGTTGTGCGCTTCCTTTATCCAAACCCATTCAGCAGTCTTGCTGCCACTCTTTGGACTGACTGAAGCCTTTGAGCTCCATGGAGAGCGCATTGCAGTTGTCCAACCGGGATGCCACCAAAGTATATACCACCTTGGTCAGATCTGACTTCTCCAGTAACGGGCACAGTTGGCACACTGGCTTTCCTTTGCAAAAGCTTTCCTTTGGCCCACCCAATGATGCCCTAAGCACTCCTTTTCTTTCCTTTGCAGGCGATGGAGAAGCTGGTGGAGGAAGGTCTGGTGAAGTCCATCGGAGTGGCCAACTTCAACCCACAGCAGTTGGACCGGCTGTATGCCCATGCAAAGATCTGCCCCGACGTTGTCCAGGTTGGTGTTAATATTGTTGATGTTGTTGAGCCTTTGGATGCATCTACACCAGGGGTCCTCAAACTAAGTCCTGGGGGCCGGATACGGCCCTCCAAGGTCATTTACCTGGCCCTCTCTCAGGGTCAACCTAAGTCTGAAACGACTTGAAAGCACACAACAACAACAATCCTATCTCATCAGCCAAAAGTAGGCCCTCACTTCCCATTGAAATACTAATAAGTTTATCTATATAAATAAAAATGTAATGTTTGTTTGTGGTATTAACAGAACTCAAAAACCAGTGGGCCAATTGACACCAAATTGTCAATACATACACCTAACAACCCAATGTGTGTCCTTAACTCAAAATTGTTTGGTTTCGTCATTTGGGAGTTGTAGTTGCTGGGATTTATAGTTCACCTATAACCAAAGAGCATTCAATGATGGAGTTGAACCAATCTTGGCACGCAGGACTCCCATGAGCAACAGAAAACACTAGAAGGGTTTGGTGGGCATTGATCTTGAGTTTGGGAGTTGTAGTTCACTTACATCCAGAGAGCATTGTGGACTCAAACCATGATGGATCTGGACCAAATTTGGCACAAATACTTCATGTGCCCAAATATGAACACAGATGGAGTTTGGGGGAAATAGACCTTGACATTTGGGATTTATAGTTCACCCACAGTCAAAGAGCGTTCTGAATCCCACAAACGACAGAATTGGGGCAAACTTCCCACACAGAACCCCCATGACCAACAGAAAATACTTAAGGCCATCCAGTCCAACTCTCTTCACCATGGCAAGATAACGTAATGAGCTCTCCTGACAAAGAGCCATCCAGCCATAGATATAGATAGATATGATTCACACACACACAGATATAGTATCATAGATTGGAAAGGGACCCCTAAAGAAGGACAATGATATGTTGCATGTTCCAGAGGAGGCAAACCAGACACTCTCCACATCAACACTGGCAAAGAAACAGCAAGAAATACTGTTTACCCATAAGCATCAAGACATTACATATTTTACTTTATTTTCCAGATCACCAAACTGGGTCACAGCAACGCGTGGCAGGGGATGGCTAGTATTTGTTAAAATTGTTCTTCATTTTAATTATTGTATTGTTTTAAGTGTTTATTTTCGCACTACAAATAAGATATATGCAGTGTGCATAGGAATTCATTTATGTTTTTTTGCAAATTATAATCTAGCCCCCCAACAATTTGAGGGCCTGTGACCTGGCCCTCTGTTTAAAAAGTTTGAGGACCCTTGATCTACACTGTGGAATCAATGCCCTTGTATTTTCACTCCTTCGATATGTCTATCTTCTCTGATCTTAACATTTAATACTTCTAACATCCATGGTAATATACATGATATATATTCCGCTCTGTCTCCCCAAGAGGACTCAGAACGGATTACAGAGTAAATATATGGAAAACATTCAATGCCGTTATACATTTATTTATTTATTTACTTACTTACTTACTTCATTTGTATACCGCTTTTCTCAGCCCTTAGGTGACTCAAAGCGGTTAACAACAGCAAAAATTCAATACTAAACATCATAAAAACAGTTAAGGGACAGTTAAAACAGTAACATAATAAACAATTAAGCATCTATATAACAAATCATTAACATCTCATCGGTAGAATCAAGATCCAATCTCATCATCCGTTATTCTGTATTCCTATATTCATTACACTGCCTATTCAAATGCCTGCTCGAACAACCAGGTCTTCACTTTCCTCCAAAATGCCAATAGGGAGGGGGCCGATCTGATATCTGTAGAAAGGGCGTTCCACAGCCGAGGGGCCACCACTGAGAAGGCCCTGTCTCTCGTCCCCGCCAGGTGTGCCTGTGTTGCAGGTGGGACTGAGAGCAGGGTCTCCCCAGATAATCTTAATGTCCTAGCTAGTTCATAGGAGGAGATGCATTCGGACAGGTAAGTTGGGCCAGAACCGTTTAGGGCTTTATAGGCTAACGCCAGCACTTTGAATTGTGCCCAGTAGCAGACTGGTAGCCAGTGGAGCTGGCGCAACAGAGGAGTTGTATCCTGGCTCCGAACGTTGGACCATTTGAAGCTTCCGAGCAGTCTTCAAAGGCAACCCCACGTAGAGAGCGTTGCAGTAGTCTATCTGAACACGAGGAGGAACTTCCTGACTGTGAGAGCTGTTCAGCAGTGGAACTCTCTGCCCTGGAGTGTGGTGGAGACTCCTTCTTTGGAAGCTTTTAAACAGAGGCTGGATGGCCATCTGTCAGGGGTGATTTGAATGCAATATTCCTGCTTCTTGGCAGGGGGTTGGACTGGATGGCCCATGAGGTCTCTTCCAACTCTTTGATTCTATGATTCTAGTAGTCTATCCAGGATGTAACCAGAGCGTGGACTACCATGGCCAAGTCTGACTTCCCAAGGTATGGGTACAACTGGCACACAAATTTTAACTGTGCAAATACTCCCTGGTCACTGCTGAAACCTGGGTTTCCAGGCTCAGCGATGAGTCCAAGATCACACCCAAGCTGTAAACCTGCGTCTGCAGGGGGAGTGTAACCCCATCCAACACAGGTTGTAACCCTATGCCCTGTTCAGCCTTGCGACTGACCAGGAGACAACAAAGACAGACAGTACATAAACAAAGGCTTCCCTCTTTTGTTCACCTCCGGCATCTGGAGGCTGTGCTCGACTCGACCATGGGGAGGAGCTGTTGTTGCATTTTTCCATGCCAAGGAGCCTGTTGTCCATGATCGAATTGCCTCCCTCCTTCCTCTGCAGGCTGAGCGCCATCCGTACCTGACTCAGTGCGAGTTTCTTGAATATGTCAAGAAGAAAGGCATTGCTTGGGTCTGCATCAGCCCCTTGTCTTCCCCCGAAAGCCCTTTGTAAGTATCCTCTTCATTTTTATTTTTCCTGTCCGCTTTCTTCCCTGTCCAGCTTTTGCAACCTAGCATAGAAAGAGGGAAATACCATGGCATGCACCATCCTTTTTTTAAATACATTTTTATTGTGGTATAGGAAGAAAAAAAAACATAGTCTTCAAAACTCAACAATTGAGAAACACCTTTTATTTCCTCATTCCCACCCATGAGCCCCACCCATGACTTCCAACACCACGCCATATGGAACTAACCAAACTCTATTCTTATCATCTATATTAATAAAAATGAAATGTTCGTTTGTGGGATTAACAGAACTCAAAACCACTGGATGAATTGACACCAAATTTGGACACAAGACACCTAAGAACCCAATGTATGTCCTTCACTACAAAAAATTGATTTTGTCATTTGGGAGTTCTAGATGCTGGTATTTATAGTTCACCTGCAATCAAAGAGCATTCTGAACCCCACCAACATTGGAATTGACACACAGTTCTCCCATGACCAACAGAAAATACTGGAAGGGTTTGTGGGCAGTGTCCTTTGGTTTTGGAGTTGTAGTTCACCTACATCCAGAGATCACTGTGGACTCAAACAATGATGGATCTGGCCCAAACTCTACACGAATACTCAATATGCCCAAATGTGAACACTGGTGGAGTTTGGGGAAAATAGAATCTTGACATTTGGGAGTTGTAGTTGCTGGGATTTATAGTTCACCTACAATCACAGAGCATTCTGAACCCCATCCAACGATAGAATTGGGCCAAACCTCCCACACAGAACCCCCATGTGGGCCACAGCAGCGCATGGCAGGGGACGGCTAGTTACATTAATAAATTCCCCATATGGCTATTTCAAAATCTATTTTGGTCTCCTTTTTTAAATACCCAAAGGCAAGTTATGGGGAGGAAACAATGAAGACTGTGTTGGAAAATGAAGATTTTCTAACAAAGTCTTCATTGTTTCCTCTCCATAAGTCATTGGAGAGTTTGGCCATTTGGATAGACTTAATTAGTTTTCTTTTCCCAATCGTTAATGGTTAGTTCTTTCTCCTCCTTCCAAGATTTTGCTATTGTGATTCTCACAGCCACAAAACTATATTGGTATATTCTAGATCATCTTTACTTACTCTCTTATTTATTTTATTGTATCAGAAGCGAACTGAAGGTACAATTGTAATGTGTTTTTAAAACACAAAGTTTAAAAATCTTTGCATGATACTAAATGTCCTTTGACCAGAAGCTGGCCACTTGGAGTGCTTCTGGTGTCACTGTGAGAAGGTCCTCCATTGTGTAAGTGGCAAGGCTTGGGTTGCATTGTAGTATGTGGTCTGTGATTTGCTCTTCTCCACACTCGCATGTCATGGACTTCACTTTGTGGACCCATTTCTTAAGGTTGGCTCTGCATCTCATGGTGCCAGGCGCAGTCCATTCAGCACCTTCCAAGTTGTCCTGCCTTCTGTGTGCCCAGGGGGGAGTTTCTCATCCGGTCTCAGCCACTGATTGAGGTTCCGGGTTTCAGCCTGCCACTTTTGGACTCTTGCTTGCTGAGGTGTTCCTTCAAGTATCACTATTTCTTGATTTAAGGCATTGGCATGCTGGCTGATACCCAAACAGGTGATGGGCCGGAGATGTCACTGCCTTGATCCATTCATTATTGGCTGGTACTTCCCAATAGATGTCAGGTGGTGCAATACCGGCTAAACAGTATAATTTCACCAGTGGTGTAGGGCCTAGACATCCTGTGATAATGTGGCATGTCTCATTAAGAGCTGCACCCACTGTTTTAACATGATGAGATGTGCAGAGTAGCAAAGCGCAAGGGCAGATGTCTTCACTGTATCTGGTTGTGATCCCCAGGCTGTGCCAGTCAGATTTTGTATGATATTATTTCTAGCACCACTTTTTGCTTGATAGTCAAGCGGTCCTTCTTGTAAATTCAGAGTGATTCCCAGTTATTTGGGTGTACTGCAATGCTCCAGTGGGATTCCTTCCCAGGTAATTCTCAAAGTTCAATATGCTTGTCTGTTCCTAAGATGCAAATCACATGTCTGCGTTTTAAATGGATTAGGAATCAGCTGGTTTTCCCTGTAATAGACAGTAAGATCACCTGAAGCTTTGGAGAGCTTCAGTTCAACCTTTTCAAAGCTCCCTGCTTGAGCGGTGATGGCACGATCGTCAGCGTAGATGAAACTCTCTGTCCCTTCTGGCTGATCATTTCCTTAAAGAATAAACATTGATTTACCAGTGTATATATATTTTTTAAAGGCTGATGAAATCTTATCAGCCTTGCAGGGCATAAACAGTGCAACTCTGACAATTTCAGAAAATAATCAATGTATTTATTTATCGTGTCAGGAGCGAACCAAAAAGTTGTATAAAGAAACAAAACACAAAGTTTGCAAGCTTGGTATTCTATTAAATGTCCTTTGACCAGGACATTATATTAATCAAGATTTTAAAAATCTATTTCCTCTCCAGCTGGAAAGAGAGTCCCCATCCAAAAAATGCCATGGAGGATCCGGTGGTGAAAGCGGTTGCAAAGAAACACGGGAGGAGTCCCGCTCAGGTGCGTCCAGGTGGAAACAATGCAGGTGGATTCAGGGCCTTTCTGGAACCTACTGGCTCTATAGTTTTACGGCCCTTTGTTCTTTCCGCAGATTCTGATCCGCTTCAACCTGCAGTGCGGCTTAGCTGCTGTTCCTAAAAGCCAAAACACCAAACACATTGAGGAGAATGCAAAGGTGAGAGGAGACCTCCCCAAAACCCTTTTGGGCAACCTTTTCCCAAGCAGTATTAAAGTTCGGTCTATAGTATGAGCAGAGGCGGCTCAACACGGTACGTAAATTATGCTTTTGCATATAGCACGTCTCGGGGGGGGGTGCTTTTGAGGAGCTCTTGAGGTGCCCCTGCCCCGAAGAACACCAAGAGGCAGCTCACTCTCCCTCCCTCCTTCCCTCACAAGTGCCCATTGGGCCTCTCCTCCTCCTCCTCACAGGGCAAGGGAGACAAAAACGCCAGTGTGCGTCCCTCTCCAGGTGTTAGGAAGTGCGCGGAGAAGGAGGGGCGATGCAGGGCGCGCACTTCCTAACGCCGGGAAAGGGGCAGCAGTGTTGCCGGGCACGGGGAAAAGAGGCATGCACGAGGCCTCTTTTCCCGCATGCTCAGCAACGCCACTGCACGTCCCTTTCCCGGTGTTAGGAAGTGCGCGCCCTGCATCGCCCCTCCTTCTCTGTGCACTTCTTAACACTGGGAGAAGGACGCACGCTGGCGTTTTTGTCTCCCTTGACCTGCGGGACTTGCCGCGCGTGCCTCCCATTGGGCCAAGCCCTGCTGGCCCACCCCCTTTCACCCTGTGAGCCTCCAGAGGTAAGTAGAACACGCTCGGACCCAAAATGGCCGTGGCAGGGCTTTGCCTTTCATAGAATCATAGAATCAAAGAGTTGGAAGAGACCTCATGGGCCATCCAGTCCAACCTCCTGCCAAGAAGCACAGCTCTCAGGCCGGGATGACAAGGGCTCGCTCGTTCAGGACCGAATTTCCCTTGTGAGTGGTCAATTTCTCTCACTTCCTGCTGTCTCACCCCTGTTCTTAACTAGGAATTGGATGTTTGGGACTGCCTGTAGTCTTTTTTAATGGGTGGGTTGTTGATTTGATCTTCGAGATGTGAAATAAGAGGGATTTGGGCAGTGTTGGCCCTTTTGCAATTGGCTGGTCACTATCTGAAACCATAGTGTTTTTTGAATGGATTGGAATATTGGGTTGCTGTGAGTTTGGCCATGTTCTAGAAGCATTCTCTCCTGACGTTTCGCCCATATCTGTGGCAGGCATCCTCAGAGGTTGTGAGTTCTGTTGGAAACTAGGCAAGTGAGGTTTATATATCTGTGGAATAACTACCAGGTACTGTTTACTAGGGCTGGGTAACCACGGAAAAATTTGTTTCTAAACTCGATTTGTTTTTAAGGGTCCATTACGTTTCGTTTCTTTAAAGAATTCCGAAATTTTCCTTTTAAAAATTTCGAAATATACGAAATTTCGTAAATTTCGAATCGATTCGTTAATGGCGGACGCGATTGCGCAATATGCTAAAAAACCTCCAAATATGCTAAAAATATGCTGAAAAAACCTCCAAATGGGACAGGGGGAACTTCTGAAAGCTTCCCTCTCCCTCTGTTGTTGACTGTTGGTGTGATAAAACAAACAACAACTATAAAACTTGCACCAGACATGCGAAAATAATTACCAAATAATTACGAAATAATTTCGAAATAATTACGAAATAAATCTATTTAACTCCTCAGACTATTCCAAAATGGCTTAATATAGGATCATAAGCTAATTTAAATACGAATTAATAACGAATTACGAAATTAACGAACGAAACCGCCCAGCCCTACTGTTTACACACAAGCATCAAGGAATTACATATATTAGAAACCAACTTTTTCATTACTTTCTTTTCAAGATCACCAGACTGGATCACAGCAATGCGTGTCAGGGGACAGTTAGTGTGTGTGTGTGTGTGTGTTTTGGACTTCAACTCCTACAATTCCAAACAGCCAGTAGGAAGTCCCAAATACCTGGAGGGTCAAAATTTGTCCATGCCCTTATATATGATTATATACATATATATACACATGCCCCTATATACATGTGGTTTGTGGGGGGGGGGCACCAAAATACTGTTTGCTTACCATTGAAAATTACCTAGGGCCGCCTCTGAGTATGAGCAATATTTGCAATAAATAGCAAACACAGGAGCCTCTTTCCACAGAAAGGCTTTATCTTTTGTTGCGGCTATTTACAGTATTAAAAGCTCTCTCCAGACTCCTCCAATTCACCAGACCTCGTCGCATCACCTAATCCCAGCTTACTCTGTTGATGTTCTTATATTTATTATTTATTTTTCTTTATTTACAGTATTTATATTCTGCCCTTCTCACCCTGCAGGGGACTCAGGGCGGATTACAATGTACACATACATGGCAAACATTCAATGCCATAGACACACAACACATATAGACAGACAGTCAGAGGCTATTTAACATTCCAATTTTCTGGCCACCAGGGAGCTGTCGCTTCACCGTCCATCTGCGACACTGATGAAGTACTTTCCGCATTCCCCGCATGCTTTTGCTGGAGATTTTTTATGGCCTCGTAAATTTGTTAAATTAGCTTCCTTGCATACGCAATACCTAAATTTCCTACTTTCCAGCTTTTTGATGAGGATATTCTGGCCACCAGTGAAGCTATCACTTCATTGTCCAATTGTGACACTGATGAAGTACTTCCTCATTCTTTGCATGCTTGCTGGAGATTTTTATGGCATCGTAAATTAGTTAAATTAGCCTCCCCGCATACGCAATACCTAAATTTCCTACTTTCCAGCTTTTTGATGAGGGTATTCTGGCCACCAGTGGAGCTGTCGCTTCATTGTCCAATTGTGACACTGATGAAGTACTTCCTCATTCTTTGCATGCTTGCTGGAGATTTTTATGGCATCGTAAATTAGTTAAATTAGCCTCCCCGCATAAACAGAGGCTATTTAACATTCCAGCTTTTTCATGAGGGTATTCTGGCCACCAGGGGAGCTGTCACTTCACTGTCCATTTGTGACACTGATGAAGTACTTCCTCATTCTTTGTATGCTTGCTGGAGATTTTTATGGCTCCAAAATTAGCCTCAGCCTCCCCACATATGCAATACCTAAATTTCATATTTGACAGATGCAACTGTCTTTCGGGTTGCAAAGGTCAACAACAAGCTACACAAATTGACCGGAAGCTCACTCTGACCCGGGCTGGCTTTGAACTCATGACCTTTCAGCCAGTAGTGATCTTAACGCAGCTGACTCCCAGCCAGCTGCGCCACAATGCTTATATACACTTGCAATGTTCCATTCATGCATTCATTATCTCTTACGCCTAATGCAAACCTAACTTCAGGGTCTCATTATCCTCATGTTTAATCAACTGTAACTCTGATTCAGCACTTACAACACTTAAAGTAACCAAACATTCTATCTTCTAAATAGGTTAGTATATTTTAAAACACCAACACTTCCTTATAGAAAGCCCAAAGTTTAGAAAGAGGAGGATGCTTGAAGCCGTGGCAATCGATGGGTGCATCCACACTGTAGGATTGATGCAGTTTGGCACCATTTTAACTGCCATGGCTCCATGCTAGAAAATCCTGGGATTGTCCTCACGATCATTGGAGGGTAAAGAAGGGACTCCGTTTGCAAATCGGCACAAATAATGAGGAAATCAGAAATTAGGAGCATGCCTTCTGTATAATATTGTATAACATTGCAATAATCCTATATAACACTGTCCCAAATGAGGGGTTTTCAAAGAGCAGCTCACAAGAACATTGATTCTGTCCTTCGTCACTTGGCCTTCAAATCTGAAGGGGAACGTTTGCTGGTTCTTAATGCAAATATTAAGGGGCATTTTATTGTCTTTGGCAATGGTTTCCAAGCAAAGAAGCACTCAGGTCTTGAGTTTACAAACTCCAGGTTCTTGGGGATGTTTTCGGATAGATGGATGGATGGGTGGAGGATGAATGGATAGACAGACAGACACAGATGTATAGAGGGAGGGAAGGATGAGGAGATGTATGTATGGATGGGTGGAGAGGGAAAGATGAATGACGGATAGGTGATCAGAAAGGTGGTTGGATGGATGCATAAAGAGATAGATAGATAGATAGATAGATAGATAGATAGATAGATAGATAGATAGATAGATAGATAGATAGATAGATACATAGATAGATAGATAGATAGATAGAGATAGATAGATAGATAGATAGATAGATAGATAGAGGGAGGGAGTTAGAGAAGAATGAGAAGATAAATGGGGGGTTGGTTGGATGGATGAAAGATACATGATTGACTGATTGATGGATGGATGGTCAGGTAAGTGGATAGATGCACAGAGAGATGATGGATGGATGGATGGATGGATGGATGGATGGATGGATGGATGCATAGAGAGATAGATGATGGGTGGATGGATGGTTAGAAAGATGGATGAGTGTATTGATGAATGCATAGAGAGATAGGTAAATGGATGGATGAATGGCCAGATAGGTGGATGGATGGAGAAAGGGGGGGGGATGAAATGGAGGGATGGATGAATGGAAAGATACATGATGGGTGGATGGTCAGGTAGGTGGATGAGTGGATAGATAAATGAATGGATAGATAGGCATCCAGTCTGTCTTATAGAGGGTGGGAAGGATGAGGAGATGGATAGATGGAGGAATGGAGGGGTGGATAGATAGATAGATAGATAGATAGATAGATAGATAGATAGATAGATAGATAGATAGATAGATAGATAGATAGATAGAATGATAGATAGATAGATAGATAGATAGATAGATAGATAGATAGATAGATAGATAGATAGGAGGGAGGGAGATGATGGATGGATTATCAGGTAGGTGGATAGATAGGTAGATTGGAGGGAGGGAGATAGATAGATAGATAGATAGATAGATAGATAGATAGATAGATAGATAGACAGACGGATGATGGATGGATTATCAGGTAAGTGGATAGATAGACTGGATGGATGGATGGTCAGAAAAGGAGTTGGATAGATGGATGGGTGCATAGAGGGATAGATAAATGATGGCTGGATGGATAGTCAGAAAGATGGATGAGGGATAGGTAAATGTAATGGATGGTCAGATAGGTGGATGGATAGAAGGAGGGAGGGAGGATAGACAGATGGACGGATAGGTTTGCTCTTCTTCTCCTGCAGGACCGCTTTTCTAACTCTCTCTCCTAAGACAACTTGCTCTCATCCCTCCTTTGCAGGTGTTTGACTTCTGCCTGGACGAGGAAGACCTGAAAAAACTGGCTGCCCTGAACTGCGGGGCGCGGGCTGTTCCTTGGGACCTTTTGGGGTACGTCAGCCCTATTAAAGAGCATGTAAATAGAGCATAATAGGGGGCCATGGGGCAATGGCTGGGTAGTTTGGGAGACTGTAATAAGTGTGGGCTGGGAAGAGATCCTGGCTGTGGTTGCTGTTGTGTACCTTCAAGTCATTTCCGCCTCACAGTGACCCTGTGGTGCTTTTCCGGTGCTTCACGGTGCCCCCTTTCTTTTCCTTCCTAGGATGGGCAAGCACAAATATTACCCTTTCTGCAAGAAGGAGTGATCCTTTCCAGACAAGCGCAAACAGGCCTCGCCATTCCAAGAGAAGCACAGAAGTGGTGGGGCCAGCTTCTGCCTTTCATAGCTAATCAAACTGAGAAGTTACCTTTCGCCAGTCCCAACTCGTCTTAGAGAGGCCAAAAATGCACCTTCAAGTTATTTACCTGACATTAAGAGTTATCTGTATGGCATCTATCTGACATTAAATTTACCTGGATGGCATCTACCTGATATTCAATTTATCTGTAGGGCATCTACATGATATTTGACTTACCTGTATGACATCTATCTGATGTTAGAGTTTCCTGCATGGCATTTGGTGTTAGATTTACCTGCATACTATCTATCTGACATTAGTGTTACCTATGTGACATCCACCCAACATTCTATTTACCTGTATGGTATCTGACATTAGATTTATCTGTATAGAATCTGCCTGACGTTAGTGTTACCCATATGGCATCTACTTGACATTAGATTTATTTGTATGGCATCTATCTGAAATTACAGTTGCCTGGATGGCATCTATCTGATGTTACAATTACCTGTATGACATCTACCCAACATTCAATTTACCTGTATGGCATCTGACATTAGATTTATCGGTATGGCATCTACCTGACGTTAGTGTTACTTGTATGACATCTATCTGACATTGGAGTTACCTGGATGTCATTCACCTGATATCCAATGTATGGCATCTATCGGACGTGTTATCTATATGGCATCTACCTGATGTTCGATTTACCTGTATGGCATCTATCTGACGTTATCTGTATGGCATCTACCTGATGTTCGATTTACCTGTATAGCATCTATCTGACGTTAGAGTTACCTATATAGCATCTACCTGATATTAGATATACCTGTATGGCATCTACACAATATTCGATTCACCTGTATGGCATCTATCTGATGTTAGATTTACTTGCATGGCATCTACCCGCTGTTCGATTTACCTGTGTGGCATCTACCTGACGTTAGAGTTACAGGGATGGCATCTACCTGATGTTCGATTTATTTGGAATGGGACATGTCAGATGGGCAACTTGAATGTGAAAGGACCGATTTCATTTCCATGCTTGCTTTTTATGAATTTACCACAATCGCATATTTCAATGGTGTGTGCCTTTGGGGGTTGCAAAGAACACCAGTGCTTTGCATTTTTGTTTCCTTTTCCAATAAAAACAGCAAAATGTGATCATGTTTGATTATTGGTTTCCAGTGTTTCCAGTGTCATCTCGCTCACAACTGAACTTACCTTGAAATCTCCAATGAGTTTAGGGATTCACAGAAATCTTAAACTGAAGTTGCATCTACTACACCAGACATGGACAAACTTGGGCCCTCCCTCCAGGTGTTTTGGACTTCAATTCCCACCATTCCTAACAGCCTTAGGCCCCCTCATTCCCCCCCCTCAGCCACTTAAGGTGTTAGGAATCATGGCAGTTGAAGCCCAAAACACCTGGAGGGAGGGCCAAAGTTTGCCCATACTTGTACTACACTGTAGACTAGATGCAGTTTGGCACCACTTTCACTACCACAGTCATGTTTGTACCTCCAAGCTGTTTCTAACTTAATTGATTAATTCTAAGGCAAACTGATCACTGGGTTTCCTTGGAAAGATCTGTTCTTTTCCTGATAAAGAAACTTATGGTGACAAAAGCCATGGAGGCAAAAACAGATAAAGCAGGGTTTCGGAAACATTTTCCACTCATCACCCCTTTCGCCCTAAGACATTTGGATGTGACCCCAGATATATAGGTAAATAAAATAAGTAAAAACATCCAACTTATTTTGATTTTAAACAATCCACATTTGACAGACTTGATGGGCTGATTCTCCCTTTGAATGAAGTACAGCTGAAGCATCTTCTGCAAAGGCACAAAGGCAAGGAGTAGTATTACTATAATGCATCTCCTGCAGAGGCAAAGAAGCACAATGGCAAGAAGATAAGACAGTGAAGGAGGAGTATTCCTGTCTTTATTATGCAAGGTTTGCTAAACAGGCAGATTGTCCCTTTTTATGAAGTACATCTGAAGCACCTTCTGCAGAAGCACAGAGGCAAGGAATAGTATTATTTTAATGCACCTCCTGCAGAGACACAAAGGCAAAGAGGTTTTTTGTTTGAATACAAGGAGGTCCATTGGAAAGGAGGAGTATTTCTCTGTTTTTAATTGCAAGGCTTGCTAAACAGGCTGATTGTCCCTTTTTTATGAAGCACAGCTGAAGCACCTTCTGCAAAGGCACAGAGGCGAGGAATAGTATTATTTTAATGCACCTCCTGCAGAGACACAAAGGCAAAGAGGTTTTTTGTTTGAATACAAGGAGGTCCATTGGAAAGGAGGAGTATTCCTCTGTTTTTAATTGCAAGACTTGCCATATAGGCTGATTATCCCTTTTTATGAAGGACAGCTGAAGCATCTTCTGAAGAAGCAAAGAAACACAAAGGTGTTACCAGTAAACACTTGATTTGAATGGGTTGCTTACCTGTAACCATGTTTCTTCAAGTGGTCGTCTATGAAATCTGCACATATGGTCATCTATGAAATCTGCACTATCCGCGTCTGCGCAGTCGGTTTCAGAACTCTCTAGAAGTTCTTATGATATACAATTTGGCGGTAGCCCCACCCACTCTCTCCTCAATGATATATAGCCAGTGGGAGGGGCTGCCACCAAAATGTTATCTCATAAGAGCTAAAGAATTCCGAAACTGCGCAGGCACAGGAGACCCATATATGCAATTTCACATGGACCATGCAGAAGAATATATGTATTTTATATAACTATATACACTGTGAAAGCCATCCACGACATGGCTACCAGCCTCCTCCCAGTCTACTCCTCCCAGTAGACTCAAATTAAGGGAAAGCTTTATGAGAACTACCACTCCTCTTGGCGTCCCCCCAGCAACAGCAAGGGTGTCCCCCTGGGCAGCTAGACCAGGAAATCCCAACTGGATGCCCCCCCGCAAGGGTCTTCCTCCAAGGGCAAACCAATAATGGGCAACTTGGAAGTCTCTGAACAGACTAAGAAGTGGAGTGGGCAGATCAAGAGATAACCTGGAGAAATGGCACTACCTAAAAGAATCCCACACCTTGTGTGACTGTGGAACAGAACAGACAACTCCACATCTGTATGCTTGTCCACTATCCCCTGCCTCATGTACAGAGGAAGAATTGTTAGGAGGCTACAGACAATGCCATTGCTGTTGCCCGTTTTTGGTCAAAAGATATTTAGCCACCTGAGCGCCTTCAATTTTTATCAGTTTTATACTAATTTATGCAATGTTTTTGATACAAAATAAATAACCTATATACTAAGGGTCATATAAACAGTTTGGCATGCAAAAGGGCAACATTCTGGAGCTAACACTGCCCTCTAGCGCTGTTACATAGTACTGCCTTTTTATTGACAATAAGCAGAAGGTATTTGGGGTCCCCTCCTCCAAGAAAGAGGATGCACATGCCTACAAGTCTCCTCTTGACTGATGGCAACCCCAACCATCTCCTTGGGGTTTTTCAGGCCAAACAGACTCAAGAGGTAGTTTCCCCAGTTTTCTTCTGCCAAGGACTCCTCAGAAGTGCTTTTGCCATCCCTCCCTCTATTTCCCACAAGAAGACGCACCTTCACGGTTTAGAGAGACTGATCCCTTCCAAAATGAAACTGAATTTAATTGTTTAAAAATAGAATGTGCAGCAAAGAAAGAGCAGAGCAGGACACTTTGAATGTCTAAACATTCTACTCCACTGGGGAGTGGCAGGGATATGCCAACTCTGCAAAACGGTTTCGAATAAACCACCATCGAAGACTGGAAGCGGGTTCGGCTCCAGCAAAAAAGGGAGAACCCGCACAGATCTTAGAACACAGAAATGGAAAAGAAAGAGACATGACTTCCTATTGAATCTCCTGCAGCTGCTGTTGTGACGCCGCTTGTGATGAGCTCTCTCCAACCATGAGTATGGCAACCATGATGGCCACCAAGCGTGTGTGTGGAGGCCAAGCCCATCTGCAAAGCGCACCCGCCGTTCAAGGGAATGTGATGGTGGTGAGAGGCATGAGCTCAAACGTCTGTTCGAGGGAAGGGCGCTGCTGCTCTTGGCCCTCTGCACCGTGTCCATTCCTGTAGTGTCCGTACTCAAACCGTATCCGGAGTTCGCCGATCTTGGAGTGAGGGAGGATGTCCGGGATCCACTCGATGACAAAAGGTGTGGGCTCCTTCTGGTCAGGGGAAGTGTGGCCTAGAAACACAGAAACATAGAATTGGAAGGGACCTCAAAAGGGCATCTAGTCCAATCAGAGAACCCTAGAGTTGGGAAAGACATCATGGGCCATCCATTCCAACCCCATTCTGCAAGAAGCAAGAAAATCATGTTCAAAGCTATCCAGACAGATGGCCATCCAGCCTCTGCTTAAAAGCCTCCAAAGAAGGAGCCTCCACCACACTCCGGGGCAGAGAGTTTCACTGCTGAACGGCTCCCACAGTCAGGAAGTTCTTCCACATGTTCAGATGGAATCTCCTTTCTTGTAGTTTGAAGCCATTGTTCAGCGCCCTAGTCTCCAGGAAAGCAGAAAACAAGCTTGCTCCCTCCTCCCTGTGACTTCCTCTCACATATTTATACATGGCTATCATGTCTCCTCTCAGCCTTCTCTTCTTCAGGCTAAACATGCCCAGCTCTTAAGCCGCTCCTCATAGGGCTTGTTCTCCAGACCCTTGATCATTTTAGTCGCCCTCCTCTGGACACATTCCAGCTTGTCAATATCTCTCTTGAATTGTGGTGCCCAGAATTGGACACAGTATTCCAGGTGTGGTCTAACCAAAGCAGAATAGAGGGGTAGCATTACTTCCCTGGATCTAGACACTATACTCCTATTGATGCAGGCCAAAATCCCATTGGCTTTTTTTTGCTGCCACATCACATTGTTGGCTCATGTTTAACTTGTTGTCCACGAGGACTCCAAGATCTTTTTCACACGTACTGCACTCGAGCCAGGCATTGTCCCCCATTCTGTATCTTTGCATTTCATTTTAAACTCGGCGAACTGTTTTTAAATGTATATTTATTATCATTTTATGTAATTGTGTTTTTTTATATTGTTGGAAACTGCCCTGAATCCCTCGTTGGAGGTCGAGAATAGGACGGGATACCAATGTTCTAAATGATAATACATAATAGCATGACTTCCCTGGATCTAGACACTATACTCCTTTTAATGCAGGTTAAAATCCCATTGTTAGCTGCCGCATGACATTGTTGGCTCATGTTTACCTTCCTGTCTAAGAGGACTAAAATATGTTTTCACATGTATCCTTTGAAACCCCATTAGTTTAACCAGTGTTGTATCGTATTTCCCTTGTTCCTCTTCTCTGCTGTCATGGAGTCGTCTGCTGTTTTGGCACATCAGAGCTCAACCATGCCAGTTTTGAGGCCAGAGAGAGAAATGTGTAAATATCTGGATATCTGCAGGCTCTGAGCATGAGAACTGACTGATAAGAAATAACTTGGCCTGTGAATTGAGTGATAATGGGAGCTGGTTCAAGCTGCTTGGGAAGCTGGCAAACAAAGCTCAGGGACCTCAGCGGGAGAGGGTTTGAGTGGGTAGAAAAAGCAGGGATTTCACGCACAACCTTTGTTAGCAATTTTACTGAGGTTAAAGTTGATAATTCTAAGAACCATTTGTGAGTGATTTCAATTGCCGGGGGGTTCTACAGACCATCACACTGAGAGGAGCTGGACTATATGGCCCCAGACCACCTTCCAAGCCTATGAAGCTTCTCCAAACTCACCGACTTTGAGGAAGGTCTTGACCTCCAAGGGCCGCAGCACCGGCTGCTGCTTCTCCATCCGTCCGTAGGCTTCTGGGATGCTCTCCACCTCTACTTTAGGGCACTTAAAAGGCTCATAGCTGCCATCCCTGTTCTGGATGAAGCTGCGGGTGATTTCCAGGGGCATCTAGGAAGAAACACCAGGAAGAAGGGGGTGAGAAGAGGGTCCCTCCGGCGGCGCCCTTCTCCAGCAGGGTCTCTGAAGTTAGTGGTTGATGTCACCCACAAAGAAACGCATGTTAAGCGGCCTTAAAGGTAGTCAATGGGCATTTTCAGAAAATGCGTGCCAACCTCCAGAAATACAGTTTTGCAAGCCAACTCCTGCTTTGTTGTTAATAACAATGATGATAATCTATATAAATAAAAATGTAATGTTCAATGTATTGTCGAAGGCTTTCATGGCCGGAATCACTCAGTTCTTGTGGGTTTTTTCGGGCTATATGGCCATGTTCTAGAGGCATTTCTCCTGACGTTTCGCCTGCATCTATGGCAAGCTTCCTCAGAGGTGAGGTCTGCTGGAGCTGGGAAAAAAGGGGGTTTATATATCTGTGGAATGACCAGAGTGAGACAAAAGGCTTTTGTAAGTTGGGCTAGGTGTGAATCTTTTCAACTGACCACCTTGATTAGCATACAATGGGCTGACTGTGCCTGGAGCAAACTCTTCTTGAAAGGTGATTAGATGTCCCTGCCTGTTTTTCTCTCTGCTGTTTTAATTTTAGAGTTTTTTTTAATACTGGTAGCCAGATTTTGTTCATTTTCATGGTTTCTTCCTTTCTGTTGAAATTGTCCACATGTTTGTGGATTTCAATGGCTTCTCTGTGTAGTCTGACATGGTGGTTGTGAGAGTGGTCCAGCATTTGTGTTGGACCACTCACAACCACCATGTCAGACTACACAGAGAAGCCATTGAAATCCACAAACATGTGGACAATTTCAACAGAAAGGAAGAAACCATGAAAATGAACAAAATCTGGCTACCAGTATTAAAAAATTCTAAAATTGCAACAGCAAAAACAGCAGAGAGAAAAACAGGCAGGGACATTTAATCACCTTGAAGAGTTTGCTCCAGGCACAGTCAGCCCATTGTATGCTAATCAAGGTGGTCAGTTGAAAGATTCACACCTAGCTCCAGCAGACAAGAGTCCTTTTGTCTCACCCTGGTCATTCCACAGATATATAAACCCCTTTTTTCCCAGCTCCAGCAGCCTCACCTCTGAGGATGCTTGCCATAGATGCAGGCGAAACGTCAGGAGAAATGCCTCTAGAACATGGCCATATAGCCCGAAAAAACCCACAAGAACTGAATGAAGATCTGCATAGTTAAAGCAATGGTATTCCCCGTACTAATCTATGGCACAAGATACCTAACAACCCAATGTATGTCCTTCACTCATTTTTTTTTATTTTGACATTTGGGAGTTGTAGTTGCTGGGATTTATAGTTCACCTACAATCAAAGAGCATTCTGAACTCCACCAATGATGGAATTGAACCAAACATGGCATACAGGACTTCCATGACCAACAGAACACACTGGAAGGGTTTGGTGGGTTGACCTTGAGTTTGGGAGTTGTAGTTCACCTACATCCAGAGAGCACTGTGGACTCAAACAATGATGGATCTGGACCAAACTTGGCACAAATATTCCATATGCCCAAATATGAACACAGTTTGGGGGATATAGACATTGACATTTGGGAGTTGTAGTTACTGGGATTTATAGTTCACCTACAATCAAAGAGCATTCTGAACCCCACAACAACAGAATTGGGGCAAATTTCCCACACAGAAACCCCATGACCAACAGAAAATACTTAAGACCATCCAGTCCAACACCCTTCACCTGGGCAAGAAAACGTAATCAAAGCCCTCCTGACAAAGAGCCATCCAGCCATAGATATAGATAGATATATATGATTCACAGAGAGAGAGAGAGAGAGAGAGAGAGATTATCATAGATTTGAAAGGGACCCTAAAGAGGGACAATTATATGTTGAATCTTCCAGAATAGGCAAACCAGACAATCTCCACATCAACACTGACAAAGAACAGCAAGAAATACTGTTTACCCACAAGCATAAATAAATTACATATATTAGAAACCAACATTTTCTCATTACTTTATTTTCCAGATCACCAGACTGGGCCACAGCAACATGTGGCAGGGGACAGCTAGTGATAATAATAAATATGTTGTTGTTATTGTTGTTGTTGTTGTGTGCCTTCAAGTTGTTTTTGTTGGGCGAATGGACTTATTAACAAAAGACCTTCCTCATAAATGTATAGCAGAGTAACTTATTAGCAGCAGCGTGACCCAGTGCCAGTAGCCCGAAGTAATAAAAAGAACAAAAACTTAGAAACCAATGTTGTCGCTTCCAAAGGAGGCTATTCTTTATAGCCAAATAATATGGTTGCACTATTTACAAGAACAAGGTTTCCATAACACAAATAAAGCCCTTTATACTCCCTTCTTTGCTTCCACACTGGGTTTCTTCCACATGCAGATAAACAGTTATGCTCCCACAGAGCTTCCTCACACAGAACTTATAGTGGAACTTCACACAGTAGCTTTTTGCACACATCAGCCTTTACACAACAGTCTTCACACTGAAGTGTCTCTCACCAGGCCTTTTCACACCCAGCCTTCGAATAGACTAAGGCCTACCTCACACTGTGAAGCCTACCTCACACAGAGGCTTCTCTCACAGACCAAGGCCTACTTCACTCTGTGAGGCCTACTCACAGACTGGGACCTTTCTCCCACTGAGATTTGCCTCAGACTGACAGCTACTATGCTACAGGCACACCTGCTTATATAGAACTGCAGCTTTTGCTGAGTCACTGCATCCATTTAACCTTTGTCATTGCATCCATTTAACCCTTTCAGTGCTTTACTCACATTTTGCTGGCTCATGTTTATCACTGGTGACTGACCTTAGCGAAATATACTATTTTGTTGAAGAGTTTCCACAATAATTGAAATTAGTTTTAAATGGTACTCTCTGTCTTTGTTAATTGTATAACAGAGTCTCCAGTGGCGCAGTGGGTTAAACCCCTGTGCTGACAGGACTGAAGACCAACAGGTCGCAGGTTCGAATCCAGGGACAGTGCGGATGAGCTCCTTCTGTCAGCTCTAGCTCCTCATGCGGGGACATGAGAGAAGCCTCCTACAAGGTGATAAACATCAAAACATACGGGTGTCCCCTGGGCAACGTCCTTGTAGATGGCCAATTCTCTCACACCAGAAGCGACTTGCAGTTTCTCAAGTCGCTCCTGACACGACAAAAAATCTTTTTAAATTGTATAATGGCATTGAGTGCCACATATATATATATATATTCTGTAATCCACTCTGAGTCCCCTCGGAGAAATAGCGCAGAATATAAAGATTATTATTATTATTATTATTATTTGTAATTAAAAATACCTTTTAATTTTTAATATTTCTGACAGTTTCCAACTTATGGCAACCCTAATATGACATTATCATGGGGTTTTCTGGGGCTGAGAGAGTGTGACTCACCCAAGGTCTTCCATAAGGATTCGAACCCTGCTCTCCACAGTCCAGGACTCAAACTGCAGCACCACATTGGTTCCTTGCTCTTTAATCTTGTATGTTTTTAATGTATTTTAACAGCACTGCCCTTTAATTCACCTTCCACTTTTGAAGAGTAAGGTTTTGTAGCTGAACTTGTATTTTGAATTACAAGCATCCCTCCATATTAGCAGTTTGGATTATTCATACATTGGATTTAGAATGTTCTCTCTAGGAACCTCTGGGTCCTCCAATGTGATTCGATGTTCAGTTTCCAGAAGCTGAACACCAAATTGTGCTGGATGACCTAGACATTCATACAGAGGGGTTATCTCAGGTAAAATGAAAGAGCGATTCCTTTATTTGTGGGTTGTCACTTCTGCTCCTAAACCCAGCGTATTGTATTGTAAAGCCTGTTAGGTCCCTTCACAAGAGAAAAACAAGGAACGACAGTGCCTTCTCCAATCTGCCCATGTTGCATCAGCGAGACGGACAGAACAAAGCCCAAATACTGCTCACCTGGAGTGTATCGAAGATCTGTTTGACTTGCAGGATGTTGGTGATGTGCCAGGTGTATTTGGAAAAGGTGCCCAGAGGCAAGGCATCCTTCCGGACAAACGCTGGAAACAAATCAACATATTAGGAAAAGCAAGTGGACAACGCAGTTCCTCTCTTGCCATTGCTGGCCACTAACTCAGATGGGAAGAAGTGCATGCGTCTGTGTGCCTTCTACCTGCAGCACTCACTGTTGAATGTCAGATCTCAGAAGCCCCATCCACACTGACCATTTAATGCAGTTCAAAGCTAGTTTCAAACTGCGGCAGCTAGACAACAAACTCCCATAAAACAATGCAAACTGGAGTCCTTAATACACACCATTTGTGTCATCACCACCTGGACCCTCCAGGGTTTCCTATGGAATCAGCAAAGCCACTTTCTGCAATACCGGTTTGAAACGCCTATCTACGTGACCGCATTTCTGTGTATGAACCCACACGATCTCTTTGATCATCCGGAGAGGCCCTGCTCACGCTCCTGCCTCCCTCACAAGCACGATTGGTGGGGACAAGGGAGAGGACCTACTTGGTGGTGGCCCCGCAACTCTGGAACTCACTTCCAAAGGATATCAGGCATGCCCCAACATTGGCAGTCTTTAAGAGGAGGCTGAAAACGTGGCTATTCCAATGTGCCTTCCTGGAATAAAGGAATAACTCCCAGCAAAATGTCTTACAAATGCATTTTAACCATTGGGTTGCGTTGGACTGTACCCCTCACTTTTTAAAACCCTCACTTTTTAAAACCCTCCTACGAGATATATCTTATCTTGTCATACCCAGCGTTATTTTTTAAATTCTAAATCATTACATCTGGCCTGGCCATACGTTTTTAAACCCTGTGTGTTATTGTTATATGTAATTTATATTATTTTGTATTGCTTTGTATTGTTGTTATTGCTTTTCTGTTGTGATTTGTTATTGGGCTTAGGGAGATGGTGACGGGGTATAAATAAAGTATTATTATTATTATTATTATTATTATTATTATTAAACTGCATTAACTGTTCAGTGCAGATAGGGCCAAAGTCACCCTGGCCTCAACCTGCCCTGAGTTTGCTCACGTCAGCAACAGAATCACAGAGTCCTAGACTTGGAAGAGACCCCAAAAGCCAACCAGTCCAGCCCCCTTTATTTTGCCAGGCGGAAAAAGCACAATCAAAGCACCCCCAAAAGATGGCCACCCAGCCTCTGTTGAAAAGCCTCCAAGAAAGGAGCCTCCACCGGACTATGAGGCAGTGAGTCCCAGCATAGAGTCGCCATCAAGCTGTGAAGGGCGGTATAGAAATATAGTAAATAAATAAATTGAACAGTTCTTATGGTCTGGAAATTCAGTCCCTTTTCTCACCACATTTCATGACAAGGTACCTGTGGTTGAATTGGGGAGCCGCTTCTTGGCGCTCCCGACAGAAATCCTCTTCTGCAGGGCCTCAAAGAAAGAGTGCGGGATGTGGAACACCAGCGGCTCCGGTTTGCCTGCAGAATGCGGACGGGAAAGGAAACCATGATCTCGTGTCCTCACACAATAAGGTGCATTAAAGCTCAGTGGCTTTCTCAGCTTGAGCCTCTGGTATAGAGAAACAACCAAGGGAGAGACCTGGACCTGGCCTCTATGGATTTAAAGAGGGCTTACCATCGAACTGGTAATGCATCGCTTGGTGGATCCGCTCCGTGACACTGGCCAGCCATTCCTGGAAGGACATGCTCACCTGTGACTCATCCGGCCCTTGGCTGCAGGCTGAGTGAGAGAAAGACAATGCTGGAGGTCATTGGTTTCTATCCAGTGGACCAAAAGAGATGCAACACACCCCGGGCCAGAGGTACAGGCATTGACTCTCAAAAGCATGACAAGTAAAATATTCTTAAGGCAGGTATGGGCAAACTTGGGCCTTCCCTCCAGGTGTTTTGGACTTCAACTCCCACCATTCCTACCAGCCTCAGGCCCTTTCCTTTTCCCCTCAGCTGCTTAAGCGGAAAAGGAGAAGAAAAGGGCTTGAGGCTGTTAGGAGTGGTGGGAGTTGAAGTCCAAAACACTTGGAGGGAAGGCCCAAGTTTGCACATGCCTGCTACTTTAGTCCTGATTAGGGCTTGGATTGGAGACCACCAAAGAATCCCTGGGTTTCATGGAGATTAACAGAATGCCCATCCTTACGATGACACCGTGTGACCCTTTGGTGTCTCATTTCGACTTCTGTGCTCTTCTTGGACCAAAAACCCACCTTGCCTCTTAAGTGAAGCAACCGATGTCTTCTTCAGCCCACTTTTCCGCAGGTTGCTGTTTGCCGGGTCTTGTGACAAGAGCGGGGTATTGCTTTGCAGGCCTGGAATTCAAAGGTGAGACCATTTTAGAACCAGAGGTACGTTCTGACCAATTTCTTTTTTCTGACATTGGAAGAATATCCTCAGGGCACTTGTGGCTATCAACCAAGGCATTTTTATAAATGTCCCACACTAGCTAACAACAACAACAACAACGTCGGTCCTGCTTGAAGCCTCAGCCAAGGCTTCCCAAAACACTCGTCCCTGGTTCACTGGCAAACACTGTGGCCAGAAGGGAGAGCCATCAATATGCAACACAGACCCTTTCCGGAGAGGAATGGCAACAAGGAAAAAGAAGCCCAAACCCAATCTTCTCACCCAATACTTCCTCCTTTTTCCTCCTCTTTGTTTTGGTCGCAGGGGCATCTGCAGAGTGCAGGACGACTTCCGGCTGGCCAACAGGAGGGCATGCTATGGTCGGCTTCAAATCTCCTGCTGCAGAAAATAAGAGACTCTATGACAGGCATGGGCAAACCTGGGCCCTACTGGTGTTTTGGACCAACTCCCACAATTCCTAACAGCCTCAGTCCCTTACCTTTTCCCTTTCAGCAGCCTCAGTACCTTTCCTTTTCACCCTCAGCCACTTAAGCAGCTGAGGGGGGAAAGGAAAGGGCCTGAGGCTGTTCGGAATGGTGGGAGTTGAAGTCCAAAACACCAGGAGGGCCCAACTTTGCTAGCTCCATTTTCTCCATAAAGGACCATGAAATTGCTATCCTGTAACCTCTCAGTCTCTTCCTCTCCAGACTAAACCTCCCTGGCTTCTTCAGTCATCCCCCATAATAAGCCTTGCCTTCCAAACCTTTGTCCGACTTGGGGTGCATCTCCATTGAGGAATTAATGTAGTTTGAAACCACATTCACAACCTTGGCCCCTTGCCTTGAAATCCTGGAATTTGTCATTTTGCAACAGACCTTGCAAAACGACGGCTCCTGGGAATCCATAGTGTTGGAGCATGTAAGAAATCATTTAGTGTGTGTGCATCAACTGTAAAATAATATGCATGAAGCCAATTGGTCAGGCCATGCTCAGGGAGCTAGCCGAGCCAGGGACTTTTGGATACTGTTACATTTTTTCAGGCTTTAGCTATGAAGGTGCTTGCAGAGAAGCAGAGAGTGAAGCAGAGAGAGACAGAGTTTGTGCTCTTGCTGAAGGAGTTTTTTCACACGGACAAAGAAAGACCATTTTAAATCTCTCTAAAAGGACATTATGTGAGTCGATGCAACTGATTACGATTGCAAATATGTTGTTTTGAATTATGAAGAGTAAACTACTTGTTTACTGTTCACCTGCATGGCTTTTTTTCTTTCTCTGGCAAGGCAGTGTGTGGACTGATCAATCGTGAACCACACATTATTTATTTTACATTATGCCACACATAGCATGGAGCAATGGTGGTGCCAACATACATTAATTCTCCATTGTGCATGCTCTCCTAGTTCCCCTTCTGTGGTCCATACTGGTGCTTCCCCATCCCCACATCACCTGCCCTGCCAGTTGGATATATCCACACCTGACTTCCTTACCATTGGAATTGCAGCTGAGAAAATCGGCAAACTCCTGGGCCAAAGCATCGTCGCTGGCGAAGGCACAAAGGCAGGCGAAGAAGTGGAGGCACTTCTGCCCAGCCTCCTCTTTGGCTTTGGAGCCCTGGCAGGCGCAGGAGAAGCGTGCCTCCGCTGCGTTCTTGTGCCCGGCTTTCTGCGCAGAGAAGGAGGCATGGAGGTAGCCCAGGCTGTGCTTCTGGCTGGCTTTGCACTTGACCACCATGATGTTCCGGGTGATCCTCTGCACTAGGGGCCCCGTGGGCTCGGTGGCCAGCTGCCAGAGGGTCTGCTTGGTTTCGGCTGGGGCCTGCATGGCGTTCAAGACGGAGCTCTTCAGAGTCAGAGGGGTGGCCTCCGCCTGGCAGTTTGCCGCCAGCTTAATGTGCTGGCACTGGTTCTCTGCCACCCCTTGGGAGGCCGCCTTCGAGCAGGGCACCATGTGACAGCGCCCAGAGCTTAGCCGTGTCAGGAGGGTCCCCTCCGCCGTCTGGAGGGCTGTCTCTGAGACCCGCAGCTCCACGAAGCAGCGCCCATCTGGGCCTCGGTCCCTCTGCCGCACCGAGAAGACCTGCGCCTCCGAACCTGTGACGATCTTCACGGCGTCGGCGGCTCCCTGCTTGCGAGCGCCATAGCGGAAGACGGTGCCACAGGTCTTGTTCTTGCAGCTCAGGCCCCGGGTCCCGTTGTAGGTGCCACACCGGGGACACTTGCGGATGCCTCTCAAGGTGGCCTTGCCCAGGTCCGACAGGAACGCTGGCACTTTGCTCCTAGGCTCCATTCTTCAAGGAGTCTGGAAGGAAGGAAGGAAGGAAGGAAGGAAGGAAGGAAGGAAGGAAGGAAGGAAGGAAGGAAGGACAGAAGGAAGGACGGAAAGAGGGAGGAAAGAGGGAGGGAGGGAAGAAGGAAGAAAATAGGGAGGGAGGGAATAAAAATAAAAATAGATAAATAAGCAAGCAGAAATGGTATAACACTATACACATCTATCTTCTATACACATAATAAAAGTGAAAAATGTGTATGTGGTGGAGGTGTCCACTGACGTTGCAGGTTACAGTGAGTGGCATGAGCATGAAGCCCAACCCCTGCCAATGTCCTCCCCAAACACCACATCCCACCACCCAAGGAATGCTTTCATTGGGGGAGAATTTCTGACATGTATCCTCCACCACAGGTAGGCATCCCAGGGTTCCTTGTGTGGAAATTGCATGACCCTGGCCACTGCCTCTCCCGTAACCCTTTCCTATGGCACACAACAAACAAAGAGGAATTGATCAGCTACTGAACAGATTGGAGGGGTTTGGGGGACTGAGACCAATTGTAAATACTGGCAGGATTTGGGGGTGATTGTCCCTGGTATATGGGAGATGTAGTTCACCTTTATCCAGAGAGCACTAAACACAGCTGATGACAGATCTGGACTACATCTGGCACACTGAGCCAATATGGCCAACTGTGAATACAGGCCTGGTTTGGGGAGGACTGACCAATGATTCTAGGAATTGTAGTTCACTCAAATCATTATGTATTTTCTAATGAGAGCATTCATAAAGAATGAGATCACATTCTGGCTTTTTCCTAATGAGAAGTGTTACTAACTAACTAAATGATATGACCTAACACCCTAAAACAAACAATGGCTTTTTCAAATCACCCGGGCACCTCTGGGTACCCAAGCAAGTCTATATAAATACAAATGTAATGTTCGTTTGTGGGATTAATAGAACTCAAAAACCACTGAATGAATTAACACCAAATTTGGACACAAGACACCTAACAACCCAATGTATGTCCTTCACTCAAAAAAATTGATTGCTGGGATTTATAGTTCACCTACAATCAAAGAGCATTCTGAACCCCACCAACAATAGTATTGGGCCAAACCTCCCACACAGAACCCCCATGTGGGCCACAGCAATGTGTGGCAGGGGACGGCTAGTACATAATAAAAATGAAATGCACAGATTGACAATCATGCAGAATTTCAGGAGCTGAGTAGCACTTCCAGCATTCCTTGCCCTTGGTTATGCTGCTTTTCCTCGTAAGCCGCTTTACGTCTCCTTTGTGGAGAGAAAAAGTGGGGCATAAAGAAACATAATACAATTGGCAACAAAAACCCTTGTGCCGGCAGAACTGCTGACCAACAGGTCAGCAGATCAAATCTGCAGAGATTGGGTCGAGCTCCCTCTGTCAGCTCCAGTTCCCCATGTAGGGACATGAGAGAAACCTCCCACAAGGATGGCAAAAAATCAAACACTTTTAGGGCGTCCCCTGCGCAATGTCCTTGCAGACGGCCCATTCTCTCACACCAGAAGAGACTTGCAGTTGCTCCAGTTGCTCCAGACACACAAAAAAAGATAGAACCAATGAGGAAATGACATTGATAACCCAGGAACAAAAATCGTGTTGCACAGGGTGATAACACATTCAGACTCTAGGCTACATTTCATCACCAGGCTCCGTTTCCCATCAGAATAAAGGCTATCCTTGAAGGTTCACCATATATCACTGGAACTCTGAATGTGCCATAAGACTCACATAAAGCGCTGCACAAGGGCCTCCATTGCAGGACCCCCTCTTTGCCTTTCTAGGTATCCCAGGGAACATCATGCGCCCATTGCGCTTGTCCCTCGCTGGGAGAATGGAGCAAGACATAGAGTCCATGAGACGCCTGTCTGACGTGGTCCCGAACAAGATAAACAATGGAATTCATGGGGGTTCCAGGGAGAACAGCCAGCCCAGCACCATCACAATTCAATAATTCAGAACCTCAGTGATGGTGTCTGAGTGAGATCATAATACAGACCAACGTTATGTACAGTCTGTCCCCGAGTTATAAGCATCTGACTGACAAACGACTCCTAGTTAAGAATGGGACTGAGACAACAGGAAGTGAGAGGAATCTTCTATTATATTACTATTTTGTATTTTATTACTATTATTATACCATTATTTTATATATATACAGGCAGTCCCCGAGTTGCAAACATCTAATTTACAAATGACTCTAGTTAAGAACGGGGATGAGCCCTGCTACATGCACAATGGAGGACCTTCTTGCGGCAACACCAGAGGCACTCTAAGTGGCCAGATACTGGTCAAAGGACATTTAATCAACTACCAAGTTTGCAAAATTTGTGGTTTTTTATCTGTTTGTATGTTTTGTTCTGTTAGAAATGTAATACAATGGTATGTAATACAATGGTATGGTTGCTGATGACACAATAAATAAATAAATAGCCTCAACGTTCTGTCATTGGAGTATACGCCCCCCCCCCTTTTAGGAAAGCTTGATTCCACAACCCCCACTATAATGAGCCCTCCTCCGCGAATAACCTGCTTCTCCTTTATCTCACCCAAGTTTTTAATTAGTTTTTAATTAGTCTTTTCTTCTGATCATTACATATAGCCCGTCCATTTTCACTGTGATTGTGTTTATTGTAATTTTATATTGCTACGCATTCACATGTTTTATGTAATTATGATGTTGCTGTTTATTGTCTGCGTTTTTGGTTTGCGTTTTCGGTTTTATTTGCTGTTATTTGTTGTTTGGGCTTGGCCTCATGTAAGCTGCCCTGAGTCCCCATCGGGGAGATGGTGGCATGGTATAAATAAAGTTTATTATTATTAAAGTGTATTAGTTGTAGTCCGAAAGAGAGTGTGGACACGCTATTGTGTGTTTTGTTTGCCAGGGGGAGTTGTTTTTACACATACACTGTAGCGTCTTTTTGCTTTTTTTGGCCTTTAAGTTGCTTTTTTAAGTGCAGTTTATTAATGACTTAGGATTGTTTTTGCACACCCATCACTTCCCGGAAATCCACCCTAATCATATTTTACCTGCCATGTCCAGCATATTTTAAAATTTTAATTATTATATTTGGTCCAGCCATAAGTTTTTAAATGTGGTCATGCTATTGCTAATGTTTATTGTTTATTTGCTGTTATGAGTTTTATTTACTGCTTGTATTATTTTTGCTTGTTATTGCTGTGTTGTGGGCTCGGCCTCATGTAAGCCGCACCGAGTCCCTTGGGGAGATGGTAGCGGGGTACAAATAAAAGTGCTGTTATTAATATTATTATTAATATTATTATTATTCTGTTGTATTTTTCAGTGTTTTTGAGTGATAGTCACTCGTTGGCCTGATAGGGCGTATTGTGTACAAATTTCGTGTCAATTCGTCCAGTGGTTTTTAAGTTATGTTAATCCCACAAACGAACATCACATTTTTATTTATATAGATTTCAAATATTTGTACCCCAACCTTCTCTACCCCCTGTAAGGGAGACTCAGGGGGTAACAATTTGATGCCCCATATATACAACAGATAAAACAACAGTTACATAATAAGTAAAACATTAAATTAGATTAAAAGCCATTTAAAATAGTACAAGTCTATGATACTCTCTCTCATATTATTATGATTACTAGCCATCCCCTGTCACACGTTGCTGTGGCCCAGTCTGGTGATCTGGAAAATAAAGTGATGTGAAAGTATTTCTTGCTGTTTCTTTGTCAGTGTTGATGTGGAGAGTGCATGTTCCACTGTGGAACATGCAACATAGAATTGTCCTTCTTTAGGGGTCCCTTCAAATCTAGGATACTATATCTCTCTGTGTGTGAATCATATCTATCTCTCTATATCTATGGCTGGATGACTCTTTGTCAGGAGGGCTTCGATGAGGTTTTCTTGCCCTGGTGAAGGGAGTTGGACTGGGTGGCCTTAAGTATTTTCTGTTGGTCATGGGGGTTCTGTGTGGGAAGTTTCCCCCATTTCTGTTGTTCGTGGGGTTCAGAATGCTGTTTGATTGTAGGTGAACTATAAATCCCAGTAACTACAAATCCCAAATGTCAAGGTGTATTTTTCCCCAAACTCCATTTGTGTGCATATTTTGACATATTGAGTATTCGTGCCAAGTTTGGTCCAGATCCATCATTTATTTATTTATTTATTTAATTTATTTGTATACTGCTCTTCTCAGCCCTTAGGCGACTCAGAGCGGTTAACAACAAACAGCAGCAACAATTCAATGCTAGCATCATACAAACCATTAAAAAAAACAATTAGCACAATAATACACTAAGCAATTAACATCAATAAACATCAATAACAACTCATTAGTGTCTCATAACTAAAATCATAATCCAAGCTCATCATCCGTTGTTCCCGTTTCCTATAGTTCATTATAATTCATTGCACTGCCTATTCAAATAACCAGGTTTTCACTTTATTCCGAAATGCCATTAATGAGGGAGCCGATCTAATGTCTGTGGGAAGGGCGTTCCACAGCCGAGGGGCCACCACTGAGAAGGCCCTGCCCCTCGTCCCCGCCAACCATGCCTGTTTATTGTTTAGAGTCCACAGTGCTCTCTGGATGTAGGTGAACTACAACTCCCAAACTCAAGGTCAATGCCCACCAAACCCTTTTAGTGTTTTCTGTTGGTCATGGGATCACTTCCATCGTTGGTGGAGTTTGATTGTAGGTGAACTATAAATCCCAGCAACTACAACTCTCAAATGACAAAATCAAAAAATTTTGAGTGGACATACATTGGGTTGTTAGGTGTCTTGTGTCCAAATTTGGTGCCAATTCCCCCAGTGGTTTTTGAGTTCTCTGAATACCACAAACAAACATTACATTTTTATTTATATAGATTATTATTATTATAATTATATTTATTGACACCCCACTATACCAATGCTAATGTATACCAAAACCTCAGAGCATACACTCTACACCAGGCCTGAGCAAACTTGGGCCCTCCAGGTCCTTTGGACTTCAACTCCCATCATTCCCAACAGCCTCAGGCCCCTTCCTTTTCCCCCTCAGCCGCTTAAGCGGCTGAGGGGGAAAAGGAAAGGGCCTGAGGCTGTTGGGAATGATGGGAGTTGAAGTCCAAAGGACCTGGAGGGCCCATGCCTGTTCTACACTGTGGAATTAACGCTGTTTGACACCGGTTTCACGGCCTAGCTCCATGCTGTGGGGCCATGGGAGTTGCAAGCCCTTGGCAGAGGAGGCTAAAGGCCTTGCAGAATGACACACAACCCTCTCTCTCCCCGTTGCCCCTGACTAGCACTCTGCGTATGCTCAGGAACCCTTCGCCCACCGCCTTTCCGTAGGAAGAGGAAACTGCGAAACCCCTTTACCTTCTCCAACCCGGCCTCCGCGGTGGCTCCTTACAAAGGGTTCTGCGACGCTCTTCTGTAACGGCCTCTCCGATTGGCCGAGCCCGGTCACGAGAGCGGGTTGGGGCCGGCGCGCCGAGCACGACGGGAAACGTAGTCCTGTTGTCGCCTTTCAGTGCTTCCGGGTTTTTTTTTTTTTAAGGGCCAGTCTTCCTTGGAGGGGAATCATAGAATCATAGAATCAAAGAGTTGGAAGAGACCGCATGGGCCATCCAGTCCAACCCCATTCTGCCAAGAAGCAGAAATATTGCATTCAAATCACCCCTGACAGATGGCCATCCAGCCTCTGTTTAAAAGCTTCCAAAGAAGGAGCCTCCACCACACTCCGGGGCAGAGAGTTCCACTGCTGAACGGCTCTCACAGTCAGGAAGTTCTTCCTCATGTTCAGATGAATCTCCTCTCTTGTAGTTTGAAGCCATTGTTCCGCGTCCTAGTCTCCAGGGAAGCAGAAAACAAGCTTGCTCCCTCCTCCCTGTGGCTTCCTCTCACATATTTATACATGGCTATCATATCCCCTCTCAGCCTTCTCCAGGCTAAACATGCCCAGCTCCTTAAGCCGCTCCTCATAGGGCTTGTTCTCCAGACCCTTGATCATTTTAGTCGCCCTCCTCTGGACACATTCCAGAGACTCAAAGCGGCTCACAATTAAAAAAAACATTACAACTAGAAATATACCAATATACTATAATAAAACAGTATATCATTTTGTATTATTATATATGATCAATGTTATATTTAATATATTAGTATTACTATATTACAATATTATAACCTCAAGCCCCTTTCCTGGGCTGTAGTCCAGCTAATTTTGGGAAAGGCGTACGGCAAGGCTGCATACTCTCCCCCAACCTTTTTAACGTGTATGCAGAACACATCATGCGATGTGCGGGGCTTGATGAATGCAAAGCTGGGGTGAAAATTGCTGGAAGAAACATTAACAACCTCAGATATGCAGATGACACCACTCTGATGGCCGAAAGCGAGGAGGAGCTGAGGAGCCTTCTAATCAAGGTGAAAGAAGAAAGCGCAAAAGCTGGGTTGCAGTTAAACATCAAAAAAACCAAGATTATGGCAACAAGAATGATTGACAACTGGAAAATAGAGGGAGAAAATGTGGAGGCCGTGACAGACTTTGTATTTCTAGGTGCAAAGATTACTGCAGATGCAGACTGTGGCCAAGAAATCAGAAGACGCTTCCTTCTTGAGAGGAGAGCAAGGACCAATCTCAAGAAAATAGTAAAGAGCAGAGACATCAGACTGGCAACAAAGATCCATTGCCTAGTCCAAGCCATGGTATTCCCTGTAGTCACCTACGGATGTGAGAGCTGGACCTTAGGGAAGGCTGAGCGAAGAAAGATAGATGCTTTTGAGCTGTGGTGTTGGAGGAAAGTTCTGAGAGTGCCTTGGACTGCGAGAAGATCCAACCAGTCCATCCTCCAGGAAATAAAGCCCGACTGCTCATTGGAGGGAAGGATACTAGAGACAAAGTTGAAGTACTTTGGCCACATCATGAGGAGACAGCAAAGCCTAGAGACGACAATTATGCTGGGGAAAGTGGAAGGCAAAAGGAAGAGGGGCCGACCAAGGGCAAGATGGATGGATGGCATCCTTGAAGTGACTGGACTGACCTTGAAGGAGCTGGGGGTGGTGACGGCCGACAGGGAGCTCTGGCGTGGGCTGGTCCATGAGGTCACGAAGAGTCGGAGACGACTGAACGAATGAACAAGTACAGCTAATTAGTAGCCATCTGCATTAAATCACTTCTGACCGAAAGGTCATGAGTTCTAAGCCAGCCCAAGTAGGAGTGATCTCCTGACCATTCATAGTCTAGCTTGCTGTCGACCTATGCAGCCCAAAAGACAATTGTATCTGTCAAGTAGGAAATGTAGGTACCACTTTATACAGGGAGGCTAATTTAACTAATTTACAACACCATAAAACCTTCCAGCAGTGTGCAAAAGAATGAGGATGTACTCCATCAAGGACTTGGTGTCACAAATGGATGGGGAAGCCGCAGCTCCCCCTGTGGCCGGAATCAAGCATACCCTCACGAAGCTGGAAAACTGGAATGTTAAATTATATCAGGGGCTTGAAGTGACTGGACTGACCTTGAAGGAGCTGGGGGTGGTGACGGCCGACAGGGAGTTCTGGCGTGGGCTGGTCCATGAGGTCACGAAGAGTCGGAGACGACTGAACAAATGAACAACCGCAACATATCAGGGGCCCTCAAACATTTTTAAACAGGGCCAGGTCACAGTCCCTCAAACTGTTGGAGGGTCGGATTATAATTTAAAAAACAAACAAACATGAATTCCAATGCACACTGCTCATATCTTATTTGTAGTGTCAAAAACACTTTAAAACAATACAATAATTAAAATGAGGAACAATTTTAACAAATATAAACTTATTAGTATTTCAGTGGGAATTGTGGGCCTACTTTTGGCTGATGAGATAGGATTGTTGTTGTTGTTGTGTGCTTTCAAGTCGTTTCAGGCTTAGGTTGACCCTGAGCGAGGGCCGGGTAAATGACCTATGTGGCCCTCGGGCCTTCGTTTGAGGACCCTTGGTCTATATTATGTGGTATGTCTAAATGGCATTGAATGTTTGCCATGTATATGTGCATTTTAATCTGCCCTGAGTCTTCTGCGGGGTGAGAAGGGCAGAATAGAAATACTGGTAATATTGCAACGCCCTGTATGTTGGCCTTCCGATGTCTACAACCCAAAAGCTCCGTATTGTTCAGAATGCGGCAGCCAGGTTACTCACAAGAACGCCCATGAAATGCCATATAACACCAGTGCTGCAACATTTACATTGGCTTCCAACTGAGTACCGTGGCCTGTATAAGATGTTAGTTCTGACCTTTAAAATTCTTTACGGCCAGGGTCCATCGTACCTTAGAGACTGCCTCTCCTTCTCCCACCATCGGAGGTAGCAACAACCAGCCCAACGCAACTTACTCTATATACTGGGACCTAGAGAAGTGCACTTGGAAAGTACTAGACGCAGGGCTTTTTCTATTTTTGCCCCTGCCTTATGGAATTCCTTGCCGCCCTATATGAGAGCCATGCATGATTTAGGGCCTTTTACTCTAGCACTTAAGACCTGGCTTTTTACTAGAGTATTCGATCTCTATTAATTTTTAAATTCTGTATGCATGTATTTTATCTTTTACAATTTAGCTGTAAATCACCTAGAGCATTCTCGGATGCAGGGCGATTAATAAGTAATTAAATATGATGATGATGATAAATTAGTATTACTATGTAATATTATTATTATATATCATATTATATTGTTAGTATTATATTGTATTATATATTGTATTGTATTATACTAGAATATTACGAGCAGTTCGAAAACATACAAATGTGAGTAGATCAATAGGTACCGCTCTGGCGAGAAAGTAATGGCACTCCATGCAGTCATGCCAGTGGCCACATGACCTTGGAGATGTCTATGGACAACGCCGGCTCTTCGACTTAGAAATAGAAATGAACACCAATCCCCAGAGTCGGACACAGAGGAAAATCTTTACCTTTACCTATGAGGAATATCCAAAAAGTAGTTTAAAAAAAAATACAGATTTTTTAAAATAAATATTTTTTAAAATACAAAGAATGAATATGTTTAAAGAAAACTTACCTGGATTGTAACCTAGGTATGGCATTATTTTTTCACATCATCACTATTCAGTTCAAGTTTTTGATGCCTGGGTCATTAAAGTCTCAAGTGTTGCTTCAATTTAGTGAACAGGTGATAGTTGTTGGAGTAAAGGTTTCCCCTGACATTAAGTCTAGTCGTGTCTGACTCAGGGGGGAGCAGTACCTATTGATCTACTCACATTTGCATGTTTTCAAACTGTTAGGTTAGCAGAAGTTGGGCCTAACAGTGGGAGCTCACCCCATTCCCTGGATTCAAACCATCAACCTTTTGGTCAGCAAGTTCAGCAGCTCAGCGGTTTAACCCACTGTTGCTTTGGGTATTTATCCTTTTAAATGTTAACTTTTTTTTAAAAAAATACCAATTTAAAACTTTTAAGTATTGTTATATTAGTTAAATTGTGATTTTAGTGTTCACTTAATTTGGTGGTAATGTCTTGTTATTGCTTATGTTAAAGTTTACTGTGCCATTTTTAATTTGTCATGTCTTGCTTATTGGCTGGTTGTATGATACACCATTGAATATTGCCATTCTATGTTGCTAACCACCCTGAGTCCCCATCAGAGAGATAGGGTGGGATACAAATAAAGTAGTTGTTGTTATTATTATTATTATTATTATTATTATTATTATTATTATTATTATCTAAAATGCAGATGTGTGCTTTTTACCTTAAGAACAGACAAGCATCTCAAGATCTGAGGATGACATGGGTAGGAATCCCTCTGGAGCATTGCAGCACTCCCAACATACCTGGGAGTCACTCTGGACCGTGCTCTGACTTACAAGAAGCACTGCTTGAATATCGAGCAATAAGCGGGTGCTAGAAATAATACCATACGAAAGCTGACTGGCACAACCTGGGGATCACAAACAGACACAGTAAAGACATCTGCCCTTGTGCTTGGCTACTCTGCTACTGAATACGCACGCCCAATGTGGAACATATATCACCATGCTAAAACAGTGGATGTGGCTCTTAATGAGACATGCCGCATTATCACAGGATATCTACGCCCTACACCGCTGGAGAAGCTATACTGTTTAGCAGGTATCACACCACCTGACATCCATCGGGAAGTAGCAGTCAATAATGAAAGGACCAAGGCAGTGACATCTCTGACCCATCCTGTTCGGATATCAGCCAGTAAGCCAATGGCTTAAATCAAGAAACAGCTTCCTAAGATCTACAGAGATACTCGCTGGAACACCTCAGCAAACTAGGATCCAAAAGTGGCAGGCTAAAACCTGGAACTTCAAGCCATGGCTGAGACCAGATGAGAAGCTCCCTCCTGGGCACACAGAAGGTGGGGCAACTTGGAAGGCGCTGAACAGACTGCACTCTGGAACCATGAGATGCAGAGCCAACCTTAAGAAATGGGGC